GGAAGCCCAAATTAAGGAGTAAGGAGAGTAAGTTAACAGAATTTGGCTCTAGCGTAATTTAGAGCTTGAATTCGATATAGGATTCATATAGCTAGAAAGGCTTGTAGAGGACATTAGAAAGACAGGAAAGCTAGGGGTAGAATTCTGACCCCAGAACCCCCAGTTTGACCCTACTAGACTTCTTGGTTTATAAATTAACAAGAATGCTTTACAAATATTGCAAAAGCAATATTTAGAGTATTGATTCCTTGAATATTTAGAATAGTTAGCTTTAAAGAAATTTGTATTTTATGTTGAAAGATTTATTTACTTGCCTCATTGAATGAAAATTTTTTTTTTTGAAAAGATTTATGAGACTTTGTAAAATTTAATAATACTATTCTAACAATGAAATTTTTTTTTTTATATTAGTGGTATTAGATAGCAAACATATATTTAGAAAATCTTTTACTTATATACTAAAGAATTTATTTTATACTTACAATTAATTTCTTTGAGAAGTTTTTTAGTTTGGCTAGTTCTGATTTTTGACAAAATTTCAATATTACTGCTATAGTATTAATTAATTAAATGCTTAATTTCGATGTTAATATTTTCTAGCTGCTTAGGACAATGGTTAAAGATTAGGGACTATACATTTACTATAGAGAAATTTTAAGAAAAATTTTATTTATAGAAAATATTACCTGTTATAAATAAATTTAATATCCATTATACATGCATCATTCTTTGTATTCGGGAAAAATTTTATTATAAATTTAACACTATTTAAATACAGTATAATTGTTATAAGTTATTTCACAATTCTGTAAATTATTACTTGACGTATGTTATTTTTTCAATTTTCACTAATTAAAAAATGATCCAAGTCGATTCTTAATATTTTCTTAGTTCAAATCATGATAAAGTTATCATAAATTATTGATGATTACTCTTTTTCGCAATATCATTGTTTTCACTACTTACATAAATTTCTAAATCATTATCGTTAGGGCAGTGTCATTAATCACCTGATTATTTTTTATCAAAGGCCTACCCCACCTTCCCTCTCCTTAATATATAAATAGTCAGGTTCCTTATATATAATTTCAACTTTTTTTACCCCCCCTCCTAAAAAATCATCTGATTTTTGTCAGCTCCCTTATAATAAATAAATAAATTTACTAAGATCTAATGCACGGTGTTAATGATGTTTTTTTGCAATTTGGCTCTGTCTAAGTATTCTTCCTATACTATTTCGACTTATTCTAAGTTAAAAAAAACTATAAATTGAATTCAATGCTTCTTTTATTGTTGTGTATTTTTTTTTTTTTTTTAATCACGTAAAACCTTTAATCGAATCTTAAAAACTATGTAACTATTTAATAGAAAAACAAAAGTTTGATAGAGATATTTTAAAAAAAAAAAAAAAACATACTTTGATTAAATTTAATTGTTGTTGTTCGGTGAGTAATGTTGCGAATATACAGTTTTCTTCTGCACTAGTTTCCTTTGCACTAGTTAAGTAAATGTGACAGTTAATAATTTTCCACTGGAAATATCTATAATATCAAAAATAATAGTGAATTTAATTGAAAAAATGACACATAAAATAATTATAATCAGAAATGATTGTGTCTATTTTAAAGAAATATGAGAGTTTAAAGCAACGTTAGAGCTTATAAATAGAATGAGTTTATATATGATAATTTTATATAAATTATATATGCACTAAAACAATCAAGTCTATATAAGGTATTATAATAAAAAATATTAATACAGATTTTTACATATAAATCCACCTTACTTCATCAACAATTATTTTACTGATAACTCACTTAGCTGACATCATGCCAAGTGACAATTTACTAAAAATATATACCTGTAACTAATAAAATGCTAATCCTAACTCTATATAATGTTGGCTAAATGAACTTTTGGTGAAATGATTGTCAGTGAAGTGAGCAGCACCATTTATATATTATATATACATAAAATAAATTACAATCAAAAATTTATTACTATTTAATTATTTCAATTTTTTCAATTTTTACTGGCTATACTTTGACATTCAGCCTTGTAACTTCAACCTTATAATCTACAAGTAATCTATACATAATCGTATTTATTAAAATTATTTATAGTTTCTATGGTTGATCTTGGAAGCTCTATTAAATGCATTCAACTTGATTTTTTTGATCTTTTTTAGATTTATCTTTAAAATTATTTTCTTTAAATTTTTTTTGGATTTATCTTCGAAATTATTGTCTTTGTAATATGTGAATGTATAAAGCTTTCTACATTTTTTGAAAAACTAAAATTAGATTAAGAAAATTATTTTTATAATAAATAATCATTATTGTTATCATTGTCAAAATATATATATATACAGTATTAATTACTTTTTATTTGCCACCTTGTTTTTATCTATTTTGATTTTCGTGCTAATAATTCTCATATTATACGAATATTTTTAAAGAAATATGATTGTAGATAGAGATATAGCTTCTATCTGTGTTTTAATGCAAAACTTTCTATAGTTATTGACAACATGAAAAATGACAATGTAATTAGAGTATTAATATATTAGATGATAGTATATCTGTATATTTTTATATTGTGAATTTTTATTGTTTTTTAGTTAAATTCATTGTCCAGAGCGAAGCGGAGAACACTCTGTTTTTACGATAGACTGTGATCATCGAGATTACGTGGAGTTGTCCTTCCGTCCACTTTTATGAATGCTGATTGGCCGAATATTTTCTATTTGTACTGACGAAGTACTATACAGCTATATACACTTTCATGCTCCGGACTTTTACTGGTTTCCAGTTCCTAGTTAGATAATTTTTTTTGATATCAAATATGTTTTTGATTTTTGATTTTTTTGTTTAATAAATTCATTATATAAGTCTCTATTATAGTATCTTTGCTCAAATTTCTTATATTTACTTCTCTATAAATATTAATTTATATAAAAGTGATGATCTTAGATATTGATATAGGAACTCATTTAATAGCCTCAAAGATGATGATTTATGAGATTCATTAGTCAAAATAACTCTTTCAGTTGTTAATGTTATTAGTATAATATATTAAATATGCTTTCTTAGCTGGCTAAGCTAGCTGATTTACATAATATAGTTGGCTAGCTAATGTGACATGTAGTCAACATTTTAGTCAACTGGCTAAGCCAGACAACTAAAACTATATAGCTTAATTATTATTTTTAAATCATAATATATACTATATATATTATAAACCAGAAGTGCAGTTGTTAATCATGAGTTTTGGTTTATTGAGTTTGTCTTATTCGAGAGATATCTATTGTTAGAGTTATGTTTAGCTTCTAGTGAGAAGTTCACCACTTCTTTATCTTCAATTCTTTTTTCAATATAAAATTCGAAAATCAAATCATTTTCAACTTTTTTAACTGTTTGAGTTATAATTCCTACTATGACTGTGTTAATATCTATTGCTGGCATAGTATTAAAGTCAAAATCTAATGGTTTGATTGATATAGCACTAACCTGTTAATTTTTTTGTTTTATTACTTAATAGAATTATTTTATTTTTTTATTTTTTTTTAAAAAAAATAGAGATGAAAATTTATATACCAAATAATAATTATTGTTGTCAACAAATTTTCCCTTTAAGTATACAGCATTTCCAGTTTCAAATAGTTTTATAAGATTGTTTGCTGATTCATTCATGGGGAGGAAGGTTTTAATATTCAAATAGATTATTTTGAATAGGTCATCATCTTGCAGTTTTATAATACTCATTACTTCTTTTATAATATATTCTTGAGTAATCCAATCTGTACTGAAATAAATATAACAAATAGTTAACAATTTAGCAGGTATCTTTTTTTTTTTTTATGATTTTTTATTTTTTTTTTAATTTTTTTTAGCAAAAAGTTAGTTTTTTTTTAATTAGTTTAGTAAAAGATTATTAGTTTCTTTTATTCAGTAGAATAATTTTTTTTTTATTTAGTTATTAGTAAGTAGGAAGAATTAAAAAAGAAGACAGTTCAAAAAATAATCGAGGTATTTATAAAGTTTTATTTTTCTTTAATTAAATTTAAAATTTGTTTTTGTTACATTTTATTTAGATATGTTCTTATGTACATATTGATCATGATTATTTTTTTTCCTGATTACTAAAAAGAGTCCTTTTTTTATGAAATTATTATGATTCAATTTTGTAAAAGTTGTATTATAAATTTTTTAATTTTATCTTTATTAATTTTGTAATATTTTTATTTTAGATTTTTTTTTATAAATACTGATATTCTCATGAAACCATTTAGGGTCAGAATAGTAATTTTTTACTTAAAATTTTATAATATTTGCCTTTTTTAGTATTTGATTTTGGCATTGATTTTTTTAATACAGTATTAGTAATATTTTTCATAATATTTGCCTTTTTTAGTATTTGATTTTGGCATTTTTTATTTAAAATTTCGTAATATTTGCCTTTTTAGTATTTGATTCTGGCATTGATTTTTTTTAATATGGTATTAGTAATATTTTTTACTTAAAATTTTGTAATTTTTGTCTTTTTTAGTATCTGATTTTGGCATTTTTTACTTAAAATTTTGTAATATTTGCCTTTTTTAGTATTTGATTTTGGTATTTTTTAGTACTCAATTTTTTTAGTACAGTTTTTTTTTTCCCCTTCAACTATTTAAAAAGACGGAGTTTGTATAAAGGGTGGGTGGGGTGGTATTCTGTAATGAATAAAAATCTTTAATATATTTAAAATATTTTTATTTAAATTTAAATATTAAATACGTATTAGAATTATTAGAAATTAAAATAGAGTATTTAAAATCAGAAAGAATTTTTTTTCTAATTTGGTTAAAAAATTTTCCTAATTTGTTTAAAAAATTAACCAAAAAGGATACGATTGACCATGAAAGTTACCATTTTCTACTATTTGTATGACTACATTAACTACTTTAACTATTTGTATTTCTATTCGAATTGTGAAAAAAGACCAAACGAAATAGAATAAGGTTAATGTCGTCCACTAACCCTAACCCAAACCCTAACTAAGATGTCACATTTTAATTAGAAGGTGACATGTAAATTGGGAGAAATTAGTAAATGCCGCATTGCCTAGTATTTAGGGTTAGGATGCGGTTTTGGGACTAATAAGAGGGTTATATATAATAATATAAATATAAGATTTTTCTGAACATTTTTACTTAGAATTCCTAACCCTAATTACTTAGTACATTTTTGAGACATAGGTGAAATCCTTAAAAATATTGTATAATATATACTGTAGATAAATATAAATTTTGGAATCAGTACGAATTTTTTTCGATTAATTAAATTATTTTATTATTATTTCTTTCTATTTAAAAAATATATTATTACACGAAATATATGCCTTTTGAAAAAAAGTTATCATTTTTGGAAAAGAATGAATTTCTTCTAATAAGAACAATGAGAGCTATATAATACTGAAACTAATCTTTCAATCACCAGTTTTTTTAGGTGTTGGATAATTCTGTTCATACATTAAATTATTATGTAAAGCTTTAATTAGTAATAAAAAATAGAGTTCCAATTTATAATTCATTTATCCGATGAATATCTGAACGGATTAACCGAATAATCAAACATATTAGCGTTAGGAGTTAAGTGCATCGAGGTGTATTAACCCGAATATCTGAGCTTGATCTGGGAAAAGGAATGATATTGGCAAAAAAAAAATTTTTTCCGTGAATTATCGATCAGGATCATATGATTTGGGTACCATGGCTGCACGAGTTCCGAGTAATCATCTCGATGAGACAAACCAAATGGTATCAAAATTATGTGATTCTGATCAATAATTCACAATTTTTGGGAAAGTTTTTTTTTTTTGTTTTATTTCTAGCTAGCATTGGTTCAAGTTTTGCCTTTTACTTTCAACTAGCATGAATCAGAGCACAAAATTGTGGCATGACGTTCCTGATACTGTTTTTTTTCAGCGATCTTTTTATTAAGCAGAATTTAAGATCTATAACTGTAGTAACGATAGTAGTAATCAGTTATGATGTAAGAAAGTGTCAAAATTCTTGAACAAACGGAAAATTTCTGACTATCAAAAAATTGTGCTAGAATTTTTTTTAATTTACTGGAATCCCCGGTAGATTTTGTGCTCTGATTGGAATTTACTGGACCGAACTCGAAAAATGCCATAATGTCCGATCCCAAACTATGAATGGAATAAACTATATATACGTTATACAGTATCAGGTATATTGCGCGACATGCGATGCC